ACTGTATTGAATTATTATTAGTCCAGATTCTCGAAATATCCATATATGAGTCAACAGAAAGATCAGAAACAATGCTAGACATTCATCATGGAAGTTCAAAGAAGTCGTTGTTATGTTAGCATGGTAGATTTAAAATATATTTATAGGTTGAAGCATGGTAAAATAACATCTAGTTTGAAGGTAATCAACCGATCACAAATTAAAGATTTTTTTCAGATAGTTCATTGAATTTCTTCTGGTATAAAATTGTCGTTTTGAAGTCTTTGTGGAGAACGTAAACCACTGTACATAATTGTGACGTTGTTTGTTTTTGTTTGAAATTGAAATTGAAATTAATTTATTATGCATAAATTGATTAAAAAAATTCTTCAAAGACTTTAAAATCTAAAATTATCCGTTCTGCAGAGTTTTCATAGATATAATAATTTAAATTGCCTCATTATAATAAATGCAACATTATAGAAAACTACGCCATATATAAAATGTTAAGAATCACGCGACTACAGACAAATTTAAAACTAATTTCATTGCAAGTTTAAAGAACATGTTATAAAAAAAAGCAAATAGAGTTGCTTTTAATTCATTTGAAACTCCGTTCAAATAGGCCGATAGAAATTACTCAGCGCCAAAGAAATGTTAAATGTGTCCTCTCAAAAAACAAATGCGTTTGGTAATAAAAAACAATTAATCGCATACTCCTTATGTAGATATACAAAAAGACTCATTGCACTGTTGTTTTAACAAAACAACGACTACCCTAGGTCACCTAGCACATATATTAACTTTGGTTACCTCTGGTCACTTTACACGGATATTGACTTTGATTACCACTAGCCTCCATACTTACACTTATGTTGTTTTTTGTTACCTCTAGTTTCTAAAAAAGATATTGACTTTGGTTACCTCTTTTCATCTTACTCAAATATTTAGGATGATTACATCTGGTCACCATACACAGATATTGCCTATATCAACCTCTAGTCACCGTACACAGATATTGACTATATTTACCTCTAGTTACCTTACACAGATATTAATTTTGGTTACCTCTGGACACAACACAGATATTCATTTTGGTTATCTCTAGTTACCTTACACAGATGTCCTGATAAAGTACTGGTTTTTAGGGAAAAGATGTCATGATTCTGTGAACATATTTCCTGGTTCTGTGTAAAAAGTGGCAAATACTGATCATTGATACAGTAATAAGTTTAAACGATATAGAAAGCACCTATCACATTATGGTGGCTGCATTATTTCAGATGAACAAAAATAAGTCTATTTTGAACATTTTCAATGAAAATATGCATTTAAAAGGTAGTGGTATGATTATAAAAATCGTTTAAAATATTCCATGTCTATGCCTTTTGGTCAGTAAATTTTAATGAAATGGATCAAGCTAGTACAAAACAAAATTATGTTTTAAATAGATCAATGTGTCTATTGCTGGAAGTTACAAATGTGAATTGCATCTTATCTATTAGTAACAGATACGAAAAAAATAGATGATCTCACGGATTTTATTGAAATTTTGCATAAAACTCAAACGTATGAAATATCACATGTTATCGAAACAAAATGAAATAGTTATACTTTCTGAGATATAATGGCAAGTTAAATATCCGGAAAAAAAGTAGTATAGATGTACTGAATACATGTAAGGACCATCAAAACTGTTCAACAATTTTGACCTAGATTATGGTATTTCGACATCCTGTGTATATCCTGATAAAAAGTGTCCGTGTAACACCCGTTATTGTGCTGTATTTCTATATATATATATAGCTCTGATAGGGGTAAAGTCGTACAAGTTATTTGTATGTTTAGCTGAATTTTTGGCATACCGTCTTTTTTGAATTTCTACATAGCGTTACGATGTTTGTTTTAACAGTGTTTTGATAAATGGAGAGATGACCATTATCAATATAAATAAGATGATGTGGTATGAGTGCTAATGAGCCAACTAACCATCCAAGTCACAATGTGTAAAAAGTAAACAATTATAGGTCAAAGTACGGCCTTCAACACGGAGCCTTGGCTCACACCGAACAGCAAGCTATAAAGGGCCCAAAAACGACTAATTGTAAAGCAGTTAAGTCAAGAAAACCAACAGTCTAATCTTTATAAAAAAAACGAGAAACGAGAAACACATATGAACCACACAGACAAACGACAACCCATGAACAAAAGGTTCCTGACATAAGAATATTTGAGGCGAAATGAGATGCAAAAAAATATATTCCAAAACCTATAGTATAGATTCATATATATTTATTCAAATGCATCTGTGACGTAAATCTTTTGTTCAAACTCATCATTTTTTTCAGGATTAGGGAGTTATTTTCTATTGTTCATCTTCAATCATCCGGACGTTTTGCCATTTGGATATTTCTATGGGCACTTTCTTTAAAACTGTTCACCAATGGAAATAATTCTAAAGGACGTAATGCGATATTGAATGATGCAGTTGGCATACTGCAAAATAATGAGGAAAAACAGGTATTTTTAACTCCTATACTTAAATGGTCATGTGAGCTATTGATATCATCGTCATCGTAATAGATTTAAAATATTTTACTCCTTTGGAACTACTATGCTTAATGTGTACACACTTTACTTATAGGTTTCGTAGTGGGAAAATCAACCGCTGACCTGATCGGCTTTTGCTAAAAAGAATAGAACATAGAGATAGAATAGCAGTTGTTCGCTTACATATCTACTTTTAATGCAGTGAGGACAAAACTGGCATTTTAAGTATTATAAGCATGTCAAATTCAGGATTTATCTACCTTGCAAATTCAGAAAATATGAGAGTTATTCTTCCAAAATATTCATTATTAACACATTTTGTGTTTATTTAGAACATTTTCATAGATAGAGAATCATTCAATATTAAAATCGACCAGCAAAGTCAGATCTATAAATAATTCAACATAGTAGAAATCGTCAGTAGTCTCCTTATTTAAGTTATTACAAATAACTCGTTTATTATCCAAAAGGTCATGTGAGTTTTTGTCATCCATTTAAAATTTGCGTCCGTCGTTCAGTGTTAATTTTTTCAACATCAATGTCAGGTGACGACCAGAGATAACCAAATCCAATACCTATTTAAAGTGACCAAAGGTAATCATGGTTAATGTATGTGTGGGTGATCAGAGGTAACCAAAGTCAATATACGGTAAAGAGACCAGATATAACCAAATTGTATTATTTGTATCAGATGACCATGGGTAACCAAATTCAATATATACATTTTTATTGCGACTTCAGGTAACCAGAGTTTTTATTTTGTGCAAGGTAACCAGAGTTTTTATTTTGTGTAAGGTAACCAGAGGAAACCAAATTCAATATATGTATGTGTATGGTGGTCAGAGGTAACAAACCTCATTATGCAAGTAAGGTGGCAAGAAGTAACCGAATTCAATATATGTAGGACTACCGGGGTAACCATTTGAAGTCATATCTCTGTTAGAATTATCAGAGGCCTCCAATGTCAAAATATCCATGTGTGAGGTGATTACCCAAACTAACTATCTGTTTAAGATGACCAGAGCGAGCAAAGAGGGATATCTGTATAGGCTGACTAAATGTTACCAATTTCAATCTATGTTGGATATTACGGGTAACCATTTGAAAGCATATTCTGTAAGGATGACCAGAGGTTTCCAAAGTCAATATCTGTATGTGTAGGGTGACCAGATGTAAATTTTTCATGTGTATGGTGACCATTAATTTCTTAGGTTAATATTAGGTAATTGACCAAATTTAATCAAAGATATGGTAGGTGACCAGAGGTAAACAAATTCATTATCTAGATCTGTTTAAGGTGACCAGAGGTTACCAAAGTTAAAATCTGTAGGATGAGCAGTATTACGTTATACTTTAGGTGGGGTAAGGTAGAGTGACCTAAGGTAACCAAAGGTAAAGAAAGTCAATATCTGTGGCAGGTGTTCAATTGGAAGCACAGTAAATGTATGTGTAAGGTGACTAGATTTTAAAAAAAAAGTCAAAATTTGTGTAAGGTGACCAGAAGATGGTAACCATAGTCAATTCAACATTTGTAGTAGGTAACAAGATATCACCAAAGCCACTATTTGGTATAAGCAAAGTCAAAACCTATGTCAGGTGACCAAAGGTAACCAGAGTAAATATGTATAAGGTAACCAAGGTTAATATCTGTGTAAGGTGACCACAGGTAACCAAAGTCAATATCTAGAAATTTATTTACCTATACCTATTTTTATATCTAGTTTTTTTTCCTAAGAATCTATCACAAAACATTGTCTACCATAATTTAAGATTTTAGAAGTTTCGGTTTTGTCCAAAAAGGATAAATGGTCATTCCGAAGATTTTGCTGTTCAAGTGAAGTTTCACTTGTAAATATAGGTCACCTTCACAATGAATGAAGCCAACATCTACTATGATAAATAGATATTTTATAAACGGCTAAGTTGAACTAATATTTCTGTAATTCATGGTTGAAAAACAGTTACTCGTGTTAATAGGTCTCGTTTAGTTCATTTTTAGAACCATTGGTTTATTTTTAGAACATTAATATTACTGCGCAGAATAGTACTATTTATAGAGTTTACCCTTGGCCCCTTTCAGCGTAACTATTATCCTTGTGCTGCTTGTACATAAACAATTGACACAGAAATATATCTCGCTTATGTGTATTGTTGATAGTTATATGCAGATATCAAAATAAACATAACAATTTCACATGTAAACTATGCAAAATTTCAAAGTCAATGAAACAAGACAACAACAATAGTTTTTTTTTAAATGATTTATAGACGTGAAGTCAAGTGATATATAAATGAAAATTTAAATCCTCAAATTATCCATATACATATTATGTAAGTGAAAAAAAACACTTACTGAGCGTGTCATACACGTCAAGAAAAAGTCGTTTGCATGGTAGATTCAAAATATCTTTCATTTCATTAGATGAAACCTGTTCTAACTAAAAATAAATTCAATTAATTCAAACACTTACAGATTTATAAATGTTTTTATATATTCTCCTCTTTGTATGTCTGTACCGTTACTCGCAAATTAAGGTAAATTTATATGTATCCCCTCATAATATAATTGAAAGATGTTTACAGAAGGTTCAAAACATAACTTTGCTTTCATATTTTGCTAGGTGAACATTGATCAAATAGAAATTATCTGTACCTACATACAAATCAATATTTGTTTACGGTTAAAAGGGGTTTAAAATTCATACAACCGTGCTCTATTGAGTTTTCATAGTTAAAATATATGAATCATATCAAATGTTTACATGATATATTACTTGTATATTTGTAAACTTTTATGCTTTGTGGTCTATACGTGGAAGAGACATTCACAATGAACCCAACTCATAAAAAAAAAAATACAAATGATCAATAATTTAAAATTAAGCCAGAAAACACGTTTATTTGATTATTGCCCTTTTGTTATCCGTATTGTGCGTACTTCAAACGCCCGTTTAAACGATCTTTTTTGTAATTAATCATAAGAGATTCTTTACACAGACTAAGGTAGATGTCCTTCTTTAAGCTTTCACTGTGACAAATGTTAAGCTAACTTAATCACAACATTTATGAATAATATTTTTTGGGAAAGAGCAAAGGACTATATGTTCAGTAGAATAATTAGAACCTTTGAAATAAGTGGTAAAAAAGATTATTGGAATTATTCAACATCAATACGTACTTTGCCATTCAATACTCATTATGCCGTAAAACAAAAAGACTCATAACACTGTTATTTCAACAAAGGAGTAGGTCCGGTAAGGGCCGATTTTGGCCTTAAACTTCAGGTTCATCTGATGAAAGATTTTGAACACTTTTTAAACACTTAAGTGTATACTTTAGTAGATTCAATTAGTTTATGTGAAAGATTTGAACTGATTTAGTCATTAAAGACGCTTTAATTCAAGCTAAAATATTAAACATCTATCAAATATGCCATAACATGTCACTTTTCAGATGGTTTTTGTCAAAAATGAAAGTGGTCGCATCCGTGTTCATCCTCAACCTTTATTTATGTTATGTATTATCATCAAATACAACTTACATTTAAATATTAAGGATGAACGCCAATGCGGTCTCTTCAATGTTAGACGGAAATCGTCTAAAAAATTAACTCAAATGCTAAATTTGTGAATATTTCAGTAATTTAACATGACGCTAGTACCCGATACATGTGCATTGTATTGTCAAAAACAGCCCATATTTATATAACAGAAGTATTCTACTTTCCAATAAAAAGCTAAAAGTTTACATTTAAACAATTTTGTAAAACTGCTATATTTTGGGGCCAAAAAGGGGTCTTACTGGACGTACTTCTTTGCCAAAATGACTTGACAGGTTGTTTTCATTCAATATTTACCAAGCTCATTATTCAATAGGTACCACTTTAAGTCTGAAGATCTCGTGGCTAGTGACGTATACATATATTATTTTGACGTTAATATCTACATGTATAATATACATGTAGATATTAACGTCATAGAGACAAGTACATTTCTTATGAGATGTTTCCTTATCAACACCATTAACTCCATAATGGGTATATTAAAATGTGACAAAACCTATCCAGTATCCAGCAATAGAATAAATGTTTTATCTGACTGCAATGTATATATGTACCTCAGATAATGATTATAAGTTAAAAATATGGTGACTTATTTACGAGAAATTTTATATTACTTAAACTTTATTTTATAACCACTCTGCAAAACCAGCAGTACCACTGGGAAATGCATGACTTAATTGAAGTTGATAAGGTAAACCAGAAAAGTTATTTAAGCTAATGTTCATGAAATGTATCCGGTGTGTCATCTCTTGTTCTACCCACCATGGGAATCAACGCTCAGTCAAAATTATAAAGATTTTGATAGCAGAGAAAACTATGCACCTTATATTCAGCACATGTCAATACGAATACTAAAAAGTCAGGCTTAATATGGCGTAGATATTTTAGTTTAGTCACGGATCCGCGATGTCGCGGGTGTTTTCTATTATGTGTTAGGTTACCAGAGTTAACCCTAGTCACTATCTGTGTAAGGTGACCAGAGGAAAACAAAGTCATTATATGGTAAAGAGGATAAATTTAACCAAAGTTAACATAAATATAAAGTGACCAGAGGTAACCAAATCCAACATCTATTTAAGGTGACCAGATGTCAACTCTTCAAAAACAGCAGAAACACTGGGAAATGCATGACTTAATTGAAAGTGATGAATTACTTAATAACTCTTAAACCATGAAAGTAATTTAAGCTAATGTTCATAAAATGAATCCGGTGTGTCAATGACCGTAGTCATCTCTTGTTATACCCACCATGTGTATCAACACTCAGTCAAAATGCTAAAGATCTGGAAAATGACACAGTTGGTAAGTCAGATGTATCAGAAGAGTGTACCGTTTTGCTACTAGATAGATATATAGATAATTTATTCTCATAAAACCATATAAGTACAAAGGTTATAGAGAAGTTAAAAACATGCATAAAATAAGAAATGTGATAACATTAAATCTTGTTGCAAACTTTTTTATTTTGCTTTACAAGTAAAATTCTGGTTATAAGTCGCAATCGGTAAGGTCCAAATCGAAAAAAAAATGTTTTTACTATTGTTTTTGTATTTACAATTTCTACAAACTTAAATTGACATGATGACTTTAACCTTTTCATTTGGAACCCTTGTTTCAATAACTTCATTGTAATCAACATACCCTTTTAATGAAATTACAACAGAGCGCAATGAACGTTAGGTTGCATCAACTAGGATGCAATTACATACGACACCAATAGCACTTCGCACGAAAGTACTTGTTCTCTAATTTGTGCAACGTCTGTGAAATTATTTTATACTGTTCAGCAATTAAGACAGTATAACACAAGGTTATAAACAAAAAAATCTCACAGCACGGATTTCAACATTGAATAAAACTGTACCTTTAATTAAGCTTATAGTGGCAAAGGATATCTACATGTGAAAGAAATAAAGACTAACAACCTTATTTAATCCGTTTTGCTGTCACTCGACAGCCTCTTGTTTAAAATACTGTTTTTCATATTTGCATACCTTCATATTCAAGTCATATGTATTTAAAAAAAAAACAAACAAAAAACCCTTATTTAATCAAATATTATAAAAGAAAGGCAGACGTTAACCAACGACAACTAGTGGACTAGGCCATGTTCATAAAATATGCATGCTTTTTACACACAATTATCAATCGATTTGGTGTTAAGACTTTCATATTTATTTACGTTCCTTTATTTTTTTGTTTTATTCTGACAGGTAGAGGAGCAATGCTAAATTTGATAGTTGTATTCCTTTCAATAGTCGATGATGTTTACAGTTCGCATTTATACATTTCAAAATGCACGAACAAGCTCAAGGAACTTATATGACAATAAGATCTGTAAATTTACCGATTTGTTTTATTCCCTATTGGATCATGTCATCTAAGAGTAGATTCGTGTGACGATTGATGTATAGTTGAGGCGTTTACCATGTAGAAGCATTTCCTCTCGTTCCGTACGGAATTATTGCGATTCTTAAATATATTGGATAATTTTTATAATCTTAATATTTTACACCTAAATGGGTTTTATGGTTTCAACATCGGTGGGAAACTTTAAGTTGAGTTTTAATTCATTAAATTGAAATTTCACATTCATTAATTGAATTTTCCATGACTAATATTAATATGTTTATTGTTTTTAATATATATTTTGTATTATAACTTGTATAATTGTTTGGTTATTACTAGCATAAATCGTATAATTATTGAAAAAGACCGAAGATTTTTACATTCAATTTTTCCCTTTGTAGAATAAGATTAAATGCACTCCTTAATAATTATATCATTTGGTGCAGCACGATACCGTTAATATTTATGGATTAGTTTCACTTGATTGATATTATCAAAAGTGGATTGTTTTTATTCAGTATTTGTTTATTTTCGATACCTAACAGTCACTATTGCAGCGATAAAATGTATACATACATTTACAAATACAGTTTTGATAATTAAAGAAACTGAAGTGTAAAATAAATCGGTTGAAGTAAGATAACACTCAAAGATCAAACATGCGTTTTAATCAACATCTTTATTAATAAAATCATTATTCAAAATAACATTTTTCACATTTGGTTCTGGTCGTATAATTCCATTTATAATACTCAGCATGATATAGTAACGTGAATACGTCAATACTGTATGCAGTGCTGGTATAAACAACACGTCGTCTGCATATATTTGATAAACCTATTGGTAACGTCAGCTCAATTTAGGTTTCCCCCGCTAAGGGAATTGAAATAGAAAATGTTTTTGTTTACAAATATGTAAAGAATGCTAACTCACATGATATTATCGCCACACAGTTGATTAGTCTTAAGTTTTCTATGTTGTGTCATTTGTACTATTATTTGTCTGTTTGTCTCCCTTTTTTTTTTAGCCATGGCGTTGTCAGTTTATTTTCGATTTATGAGTTTGACTGTCCCTCTAGTATCTTTCGCCCCTCTTTTGAATCCCGACGATGTCTGCTATAAAGCGATATAACCAGCATATAAGAGTCGGTTTATGATACTACAAATATGCCGTACGGTGACCTATAGTTGTTAATTTCTGTGTCATTTGGTCTCTTGTGGAGAGTTGTCTCATTGGCAATCATACCACATCTTCTTTTTTATATAGGTATCTACACAATTAGTATTTTAAAACATATTGTACACTGCGTATGCATATTGAGTCATCAATACCAAGTTATAAATACAATTTTTAACTCGACCTGTAGTAACTGTTTAATCACGCAAGTGTGTTTACAATCACAAAATAAAAAAACCTCTCTTGCAAATGCTTGATAAATGAAAAAAAAAAACTTTCAATAACAACTGATAATCGTGCAAAAAAATTATATTCCTTCAGAATATATCCCGCATAATTAGATTATTGTAATTGTGATAATATTCCAGAATGTTTATTTAAGTGTTTTAGTTTACTATACAGTTCGTCAAATTTTTTATGTGCATTTATTTGTCACTGCAGTAATTTATGTATCTTGGTTTTTGTTTTTAAAAGGGGATTTATCTTTCATTTTTCATTTTTTTTTTGTTATCATTGAATATCTTATTAGTTATTTGTTTAC